ATGTGATTTGTTTCTTTTCTCTTACTGCTTGTAGTATTTTGTTCTTCTGTTGGGTTTCTGGGATCTTGATTATTATATGTCTAGGTGTAGATTTTTTTTTGATTGTAGCTAGTTGGGGTCCTATATGCCTCAGTTATCTGAATGTCAACTTCTTCCCCTCTGTTTGGGAAGCTTTCTGTCATTAATTCTTCAAACAACTTTGTTAAGTCATTTGTATTTTCTCCTGCTACTTCATGGATTCCTATCAGTCTTATGTTATTCTTCTTTGCATCATCTAGGAGTTGTTGGATGGATTTCTCATGATCTCTTACTGTTTTTAAGAGACCTCTCTTTTCACGGTCACTGATTGCAATCTTATCTTCTATATCTGAGAGCCTATCTTCGCATTCTTTTATTCTGTTGTGTACACTTTCAATAGAGTGTTTCATCTCCTGGATATCTGTTTGAATCTGTTTTATGGATTCCATTTCTTTCCTATGTTGGGCATTTATTTTTTCCATTTCTTTCTTATGCTGGGCCTTCATGGCTTCTATCATGGTCCTGAGCTCATCTATTTTTTTGTCAGTTTCTGCTCTAGAGTCTCGAATCACGACTTCCATTTTGCTCACTATCTCTATGGTTATCTGGGAAATTATTTCTGTTTTGAATTTTTCCAGAGCCTGATTGATCTGCTTTGTTACTTCCTGTGCTTTGAGTTCAGGGTGTCCTGGTGGTTCACTATCAGCATTTTCATCCTCATTTGCCCTGTTTGCCATTGGTGAACTGGAAGTCTGTCCTTGTGTCTTGCTTAAGTGTTTTCTCATTTTAATTTTTGTTGTCGGACTGTCCTTGGTCTAATCTCTGGATTATCACCCAAATCTTCCTGATATAGTCACACCCTAGCTTCTGTGTCTTTAACAACCCACAGACATTCTCATCTTCATAACATCAGAGAAAACAGCTCATCAAATCAACGGCAGTGCTTTACCCCAACTGATACAATCAGCAACACATTGAGATCAAGCACAACTTGGACACTGACCACCTGTGGTAGTCACTAGACTATCACCCTTAAATCATTTGAATTAAATTGAAATCAAGAAGCAGTCCAGAACATGTCTGCAGTGAACAAACTTTTCAATATAGTATATTTACCATTGAATGGCTCAGACAGAGCGAGGATGCAAGACCCCTGATCTCAGTTAGCTGATTGCTGAACCCCATGACGCTGACTGACCTCGGGCTGCAGGCCCAGATTGAGTTCCCCATCCTTCTGAATGGTTGAACTCTGAAACGTTCTATTACAGGTTTCCCACGCCCTTTCTTTAAAGATGTTCAAAGTTGGGAACTCAGAAAAATACCCTTGATGACCACCTCTGTCTTTGCAGAGTGGGTCCAAAGACTTGCACAGTCAGGAGGTCTGAGAGTGCGCGGGGGGGACTTATGGGGGTTCAGGGGCGCCCGCACGGCTACCTTCCCGGCGCTTGAGCAATGGCTGCTGGGTCAGGAGCAGGTGTGGTTCTCCTTCCCGCGGTGGATCGGGGCCCAGCCTACCTTCTTGGCGCTTGAGCGATGGCGGCTCTGTTGGCTGCCTTTCTCATTCAAGTTGAGATTTTCCTGGTTCTTGGAATCATGAGCAATTACGGATTGTATCCTGGACATTCTGAATATTGTTATGACTCTGGCTCCTCTTTAATTATATTCTATTTTAGTGGGAAGTCACTCCACATAGAGGCAAAACACACATTCTAGTGTTAATTTAGTTTTCTGAGACTTTGCACTACTAGTCTGGTCTGCCCTTCTAGTGTGTTGCCTAGAGCACAATTTGAAATCTGACCAGTATTCCACCTACAACTGGATTCTTGACTTTCTGTTGTATTGATTCTAGCCAGTTTGACTCATGGGCTGCTCAAAGGTGTACCCAGGGCCTTCATACACAGGTTTGCTCTTTTTCTGAAGCTCTCTCCTCTCTGTAGTCCTTCTCAGTTCTCTGGTGCAGAGGAAAGGTCCTGGCTTTACATTGCCTCTCACTTAATGCATGGTGGGGATGTGGCAAGGGCTCCACTCCAGTTTCCATCACTGAAACATCCAGTAGGGAAGAGTCCACTTTCTTTCAGGGTGTTCATCTTTCACAGCATCCTATTTCTTTTATTTGATATATCAGGGTCTCTCTCTATCATCTGCAAATGTAGGTTACACATTGTTCTGGTGTCCAGACTACTTGTGTATTGAATCCTACAGTCTTCAGCCAAGCAACCTTCTTTTCTCCACCTTTCAGTCTTCAGAGAGTAGCCTCATACATTTTGCACATGGTTTTCAGTTGTAACCAGCAGGAGGAATAGGATGGAGTGGGTCCATTCCATCTTGTCAAGAACCACTGATGCCTTTTTAAAGAGCTTACTTGGGTGGAGCATTCTGAAAAGCACAGAAATGCACTATATGTGCAGTGTACAAACTCATGGTGGGGGAAGGTAGGCCAGACTATTTAAAATCAGCCTGGACTAAAGCCACTGCAAAACACAGGCAGGGACTGAGCTGCTCACAGCCTTCCCATCCCAGGAAACGCTCCTTCTAAGCATCTCCAAAGAGGACTTCATTTCCCAGGGGCTGCCCTTCATGGTCGGCATCCATGGTTAAGGTCCTTTCTCGCTCCCTGTTGTCTCACCCCTCTTGTCTTCCAGGGGGCCTTGCTGGAAGGCCCGAGGGAGTCCTGAAGTTGAAGCTGCAGGCTTTATAGTCAAGCTGGCTCAGTTCTAATTTTACTTCTACAACATAGCATCTATGTGAGTTAGGGCTGTGACTTCACCTCTTTGAGACTTGGCTTCTGAACTGTAAAATGGGGACAATAATGGAGAATTCAACACATTTTTACAACCTCCGCCATTATCACGTTGACTACAATGACTCATTGCTTTCCCCCTTAATCTTTCTTCCTTTCTCTGCACAACAGGAATAAAGAATTTTTTAAAAAGCACATTGTTTCACTCCTCAATCGTTTCCCCAAGTCCTTACAATGGACGTCTTCTCCATGACCTGGCCCTGCCACCTCTCAAGCTGCTCCCTACCTCTCCCTGCTAACCTCACTCTAGCCACCTGCTGTTCTTCAAATGCTCCAAAGTTCTGTTGCCCCAGAACCTTTGCATATACTCCTGATTGTAGTCATCTCTGCCCAGATAGAGGTAACATAATGTGTTGTTGAGGGAGAAGACATTAGATTTATAAAATATAGTGTGTGTAGATATATTTATAATTTTTATACTTATGTATTATAAATATATTTAAAATTGTGCATATATGTATTACATTTAATGTTAATTATGTACCAAACTATTCTGAGTGATTTACACATATACAAATTTTTATGACATCAATCCTCTGCAGGTAGATACTATTTTCATATGATGAAACTAAAGCATAGAAAAGTTTACTTATCAATGGTCATGCAGTTAGTAAGTAGTGTCAGCGTTCAAATCCAGGCAGCATGTTGCCTTGCACCTCACCCTTATAATATAT